CAGTACAGTTTATTCCACAAAAATGTTTATTTAAACAACTGATTTTTTTAAAGAATTGTTTCCATCCAATATTTAAAGACTTGAATTTTATTTAAACTTGAAAATGACTTTGCCTTAACTTTTGTACAAGACAGCTTAGAGTTAATGAGGTCTGACCCCGTGGAGGGTTAGCATGAGCGGAATACAGAATTACTCAGTTACAGTATGTATCTATTGTCACTGGTCTTACTGGGTAAACATACTGTAGTACAGGAACTAGCAGCAGTTTTTGTAATATACCTTAAAGATCTTAAACAGTTGATCTTTTTCAGATTGTTGAAAAACCTGTAAATGCAAATAGTCAATACTGTATTAAATATGTGCACTTGGAAGTGTGTGCTTTGCTTGTACAGTTGTAAATAATCAGAACATATAAAAAGGTACCCTAAAGAAAAAATCTGATAAAAATTATTGATATTATAAATGTTGCTGTTGAGCTGGATGTAGATAAACTAAATGTTGTGGTTTGAATATTACTTTAATTTGTTGTTTTTTCTTTTTCTTATTTTATTCTGGTGTGCTGAACTGACTCTGCCTCTTCACTGCAAAAGGGAAATGGAACGGAAGTCTTATTTGAAAGCCCTCAAACATTTTCCTAAGTCCCTCTAAAAACAAGTGATTTAACCAATTCAGAAGTGTTCTGCAATGTAAATAGTGAATTTCAGCAGTCAAACTGTAATTTAAGTCATTAATAAAATCAAATTTAATTGGAAAAAACCTTTAGACTGCTACAAAAATATACACTGAAGCTTACTTGTCTGCTTTCAAGAATATCAGTGCTTTCCTTAGTGTATGATTCCTAGAACTGTAAAGTAACTATAGAAGTTGACTCCTGAAAAATTTCCTGTTACAAACATCAATTGGTAACTAGTTGGCCTTTTGAATCCAGCCTGTTGTATGCTGCAGAATTGGTCAAAATAGGGCATGCTGGAATCCTTGATTTTTCTTGTTTAAAAAGCGCACTTTGTGAATGCTGTGGGAGGAGGTAGGACTTGACAACATCACCAAAACTGCTCAGTTGGTCTGTCATTGGATTTCTAAAATGCTTCTCCTTTCCCCAGTGGCAGTGAAAACGGTAGCTGGAGTTGTGTATGGTTTAGGCCAGCTGTATGATTCCTTTTGTTTGTCTGCTGCAAGTGAAAGGCTTACCGGCCGTGAACAATCGCAAGTGGTTCCTTACAGCGACTGTGTACAGCTAGTCATAATGCTCGACTGGTACCTAAGGTAATATATTGAGACCAGCGGGATGTGTTGTGCTGTTCTAATGTATTCTGCTGCCATTTGTGCTAGGTCAATACACTGTAAGTACTGCTTACCCAGCAACAGTCTGTTGCATCGAAAGTTTAAACCTTCCTCTGATGTGGTTTTTATAGCTTTTTTTTTAAAAAGAAAAAAGTGACATGCCAAATAGCTGTGTAATATACAACTTATCCTTACTGCATTTTACTTTGAGATTATTTTTTCCACTCAGTGACAAAATGGAGTTTTCAGAGTAGAGTTGTGAAGTTGCATGCAGACTGTTGCTACGATACATAGAGAGATTGAAATGCGGCTTTTAAAATAAAAAAACCCTTCTAAAAGCAGTAGCTGAGATAAAGGTTCAGGGTTACAGTAATTAAAATTGGCATTTTACCTTGTAGGACTGTGGTGATGCTTTTCATTTTGAAAACAAGACAAATGGGATCTAAGACTCTTCCAGGAATTTAAAAAACAAAAAACCAACAAAGGTTGCTTTTAAAACTTAATGTTGTTTCAGATCACTTCCCCCTGTGACACTGTCATTTGCCACTTAGAAATCTGTGAACAGTGGCAATTTTTTTATGTTGCTGCATTACCCTTCAGAGACTTCAGCAGCTGGCATAGAAAAGTCCTTGCCTGAGCGTGGTGCAGTGTATCTCGAGCAACAGCTGACTGTAATGGTGCATCCCTATCTCTGTATCTCCTTCAGCTAGCTACAGGTAGGGATTTTTATGTGCTTTGTAACCTATTACACTAATCGCAGCAGACAATCGAAGATTTCTAAGGAGACCTAACAGCTGCCAATTCATGAAATAGAAGTGTAATATGGGAGCCTTCTTGAGGGTTTTTGTTTTTGTTCTTCTTCCATTAAGACTGGAATCAAGCTTACATGTAAACTATCAGTAATTTAAGTTTCCTTTTGTGTCATAAAATGTAAAACTGTCTAATTTGAAAAAAATATGTAGGTTATGAAAAAATAAAGATTTAGGCACTGTTGAATTCCTGATTTTTTTTAATTAAACCTTTCTTTAGTAGTATTTTTCATTACCTTTTGTCTTTTGCTCCCATTTTTGGAAATTGTATATTTCTAATTTTGGGGAAAAATCTTTGCTTGCTTTACTGGTCAGCACAGCTGTTGTAACCATCACCTAAGGCTATGCAGCACCAAGAACACCTGTGATATAGCTCTGAAGGCAGCAGTATCTATCTCTGTTAGGTAACTATGACTTGTTAACTTAAAAAAGCTGATGTGATGTTTTGTTTACTACAGGTTATCATCTTTGTTAGTGGTTTTCTCAAATTATTAGATAAGGTGTTGGCTTGGTCTTAAACATGGGTTTTAACACTTGGGATAGTGCTTTGGTTGTAGGGCTCTTGAATCCAGACATGTCCAGGGATTATTTTTGGCTTTGGTTTTAGAGTTTATCCTGGTGGTGCCTCTAGGAAAGAGCAGCTTTTGGGATATCCTCCCTCAAAGTAAAAGACCTATTTTGGATAATACTTGAAACCCTTTTTTTTAGGTTTGTCTCTCATTCAGCTAAATCTGACCAAGTTTAACAATGGATGTAAGCTTCTGGAAGTATTAACAATTACTGTGTTTATAAGCATCTTGGGAAGTATTGCAGTAGTATTCTCCAGGCTGGATGTTCTGTAAGCCTCTGGACAGGTTAGGCTGCTTGCTGCTTTATTTCCGTGCTACTGTGCTTAACAGAGTAGGGCAGCGCAGGAGTAGTCGTGTACACTGGGCACTGCGAGTTTCTCTGTTAAAGTCAGCTAAACATTAGGTTTTGGTGATGTGAGCTACAAGTAGTTGAAGACAACCAGTTTTCTCTTCAGTGTTGAGTATCCTGTGCTGCCCTTGGAACTCAGTTTTCTATTACTTAACATGTTAAAAAAAATACATGGAAATTTGCCAGCAGTGCTGCCATAATCCTAGTGTGGCTCTTCAGGACCACCCCAGCTTTGGCAGAAATTGGAGAGTTAGTTGTTCATATAACAAAACTGGGCAGTGTCTCCTCTGTGCTAGTTTTCCCCAATACGAAGTGATGTGAGATGATGGCTGCACCAGTGTTCATGTTGAACAAATTGTTTTGTTTCCTCTTGGACATGAGGAGAAAGAGTGAATATGGAAGATTACATGCAGTTGAGTATCCAGAGACTACTTATTGTCACAAACTCTGACTCACTGCATTTTGATCCTAAGACTTCTTTAAAAAAATATTTTTATGAAGTTTTAAGTTTTCTAATACGCTTTTTCTTCACAAACCTCTGGAAGTTCAAACCTCCTATTCTGTTGATTATCATGGCTAGGCTTTGAGTGCAACTGCTTAAGTCAGGGAAGCAATTGAATTTCAAATTTTGCTGGTTTATAGGTGGAAGTAACGTTACCCACTTCATCTCTGATTTTGAGAGAATAAGCTGTGCAGTAGTGTAGAGCCCTGGTGCCATCCGGTTACAGCAGCTTAGTTACTGCAACATCCGCTCTCAGCATGGATATACCTCTCTCATATAATGTTCAACTTAAGCTGATCAAGTGGAAATTTGCTCCTACTGAAGTGGTGTGTGGAATCCTGTTACGGAACGGAGGAAGGGACAGGAATACACAGTCGGTGCCCAGAGGAGACTGGTGTGGTAATGGTCCTGGCGGGGACAGTGTCCTACAACAGCCAAAGCAAGCTGAGTAGCTATACAATTAGCTCATGATGAATGGAAGGTAAAAGGTTTTGACTGAAATGTAACCTCGTTTGCTCAGGTGAACACAGCTCAACTTGTTGTGCTTGG